ATGGATGGATAAATGGATGAATGGATGGATGAATAAATGGATGGATTATAAATGGATAAATGGATAGATGGATAAATAGATTAATAAATAGATGGATGGATGGATGGATAAATGGATGAATGAATGGATGAATAAATGGATGGATTATAAATGGATGGATGGATAAATGGATGAATAAATAGATGGAAGGATGGATAAATGGATGGATAGATAGATAAATGGATGGATATATTCTATACACAACTTCCTGACACCCTACATCCTCATATCAGGACACAGGCATCCTTCATTATATTTTATTCTGTTCACCTTAAGCTGCTCTTTATTTGGGGAGATTAACTTTTAATTTATTTTTATCTTTAAGTAACTAAATGTTCCAGAACAGTGCTTGTTTTTTAGGTTTTAAAAATCTCAAATAGTTAGGGGAAATTTTAAAAAGCACATCAAACAAAATCTCATGATTCAAGAGGATGTCTGGCCAGGGGGGGACCAGTAGGGCACCAGCAAATTTATAGGTGTGGCCCCTTGGCCCCCACTGTGGTGGCGCCCCTGATAACACCATAACACAATGTTGACAAGAAAAGAGTTCGAATGTGCATGATCTGTTACTGAAGCAAGAACAAAATTCAAAATGGTGAAAATTGTAGAAAAAGAAACGCGCAGCAATAGTAAAAAGTTTTAACACTCGTACATATTAATGGATGAAGTTGGATTTCAGATTTTTCTGCCATCAAGGGTTTCTGTGGCATAATAAAAGTTGCATTAGTGCCTGAATTGACCTAAACCGTGGCCTTTTCTTGCATCTACACAAGAAGTTTTACTGAATAAACCTTATCATGTCAGTCTGTTGCCTAATTTGAACCAAGCTGTGACAAACAAGTCAACTTAGTCTAAACACATAAAGGCATCTATTACACATTTCTCATAAAGACTGAGCTATTATCTGGAGGTAATGTTATGTTGGAGCCTACAAACTTAAAAAAAAAAAAACTATTAAACTCACTTTACATGCTTAAAAGAAAGACTTTGGTTAGTTCATGAACAAGTTTAAGGAGATACTAAGAAACAAGGTTTGATGACTGTTTACATAGTCGACACTAAAAAGGTGGCCTTCCAGGATAAACTAGTAAAGAAATGAAACCACAGATCCAAACAGGCTGCTTAAAATGAAAACATGAAATGAGCTGGGCACAGGAGTCAGCAAAAGAATAAGAAAACTCATTTACTTCACAGCAGGCATGTCCTTAAGCTAATACGGGACGTTATGCAAAAAATTTTATTCCGACATTTATGTGTGGCTCTTTTCTGAGTTTGTGCTTTCCATTTCACATTACAGCACTGAATACAAACAAGAACCCAATCAGAACACAGTGGTGATCCAAGAAACTTGTAATAAAATGAAAATGTGTCCCGGGCCACAATGTGGTTTTTTATTATAATTAATTTTCTGGTATAAATTATATATATTTAAAAAAAATTTAATATCATCAAAAAAAAAAAATTGAGGTTTGATTTTCTGGAAGCTCTGCTAATTTTTGTATCATTTCACCCCAGTGCCCCAGATCTGTCCTAAAAGCACACGTCAAAGGACTTTAAGATAAAAACTAAGGGTGTTTTCACACCTGATAGTCCAGTAGACTTGGTTCAATTGGGAACCAATATTCAGAACATTTGTTTACATTTCAGCTGGTGTGGTTTGCAACACACTGCACTAGTCAATCGAGCCAACCTGTTCCCCCCCTCACCTGTGGGGGGCGCTGCACCACGAACTACTGAAGGAAACAACACAAAAACCTCTGAAGAAAACACTTCTTTTTCTTCTTCTTTTAGAAATATATAATAAAAACAGAGTGGCGTCAAATTTTAGCGGTTTTAGGATTTCTGTTTTGTCATTTTTCAACAACTGA